ATGTAAAATAACCTTAGTTACATCCCTACCATCTACTTTTGAAGGCCTAAGTCATTGTTTTGGGCACTTTGATATTGTTATTTATTTGTCTTTTTTCTTGTTTTTCTAGTAATTTGTTTTGTTTTTCCCTCTAATTCACAAAGGATAGATATACATGTAGAGGCTTATACATGCCTAGAACTTCTCCTAAATAGTTTATGAGAATCAATCCTATTATGCATGATGATATGAACAGCTACTTTGAAGAAAAAGAGACATGGTATCCATTGTGGATTTCCTATCGTCATGCTGTGAAATCCAGTAATGCCTTTTATTCTTTGTTTAGAGTGGTTTTTAGACTGTTTTGTATTTAATTTCAACATACATGAAGGTATGGAGAGCTAATTTGAAGAGAAGAAGAAACAGTATGGTAGTCATTGTTGATTTTCCTATTGTCTGGCTTTGAAGGCCTGTAATGCCTTCATTATTGTTTTGATCAACTTTATGCTATGTTATTTCGTATGAATTCATGGTGTGTGAAGATACAGACAACTATTTAGAAGAAAACAAGAGACATTATGGTAGCCACTGTTGATCTCCTGTTGTCTTGTTTTGAAATCCTGTGCCACTTACATTGTTTTCTTCTGATCTGCTTTGTTCTATTTTGTTCTGTTTTGTTACCCTTTTTTAAAATAAAAAAAAATTTAAAAATAAATAAAATTATTTCAAAGGTCAGGGTTATAGCTCAGTGCAATAAGTACCACAGGCAGGTACAAGGTCCTGAGTTCAATTCCTGGTACCAAAAAACCCCAAAAGCACCAAAAAAAAAAAAAACAAAAAAAAAAAACAAGGCAGGTGCTGAAAGAAAATGGCTGAAAACATTTTTGCCGGGTGTGGTGGTGCACACTCGTAATCCCAGCACCCTGGAGGCTGAGGCAGGAGGATCACTGTACGTTTGAGGCCAGCCTTGGCTACAAAGTAAGTTCAAGGCCAGCCTGAACTGCATAGTGAAACTCTGTCTCAAAAATTTTTTTATTTCAAAATAAAATATTTTAAAAATGGTAACATCTCACAGCATATGGAGACCCTGTCTCAAAAAGACAGCAAACAAAAATTGTAATGTCTCAAATTGGACCTACTCTTTCAATGTTATTTAGAAATTGTTTTCCTGTGTAAGCTAGGTCTATTTTCTCTTTTTTAAATTTTATTTTAAAGAGAAAAAAGAAGTAACAGAAAAATCAAGATGCAAACAAATCCAAACAACAACAAAAACAATAACTATAGAGGTTTTCAAAACAACATGATAGGAATTTAACAGTGGTTGTTATATTGCATATTGTTATCTTCAAAATAGTTACTCAGGTTACCAGATATAGGAATAAAACAAAAAGTAAAACAGAATAAAACATTGGATTTCAAAAACAAGACAGAAAGAAATCCCCCACAGATGCTATAATTCATATTGTTATCCTCCAAATAGTTGCTTGAACTACCAGCTTTAGGCCTGCAAAGTCAATGAAACAATAAAAGCATTGAGTTATTTTTTTTTTACTTCACTTGCTATCATTTCAGCCTGACTTCCTCCAAATCAGTCCATTGCTTATGGGGAGGTGGGTGTGGGAGAGGGACTCTTCTTGTCTCCCAGCCCACATACTGGCTGCTCACAGGAAGGTGTGGTTTGGCTTCTCTTCCCATTCCCCGAGGCAGCTGCTTTAGCTCATGGTAAGGCATGATTTTTCTAGGAAGTCTATTTTCAACAGTTTATGTATTCACTTTAATTCCCCTCCCCCATTCTTTTTGTTATTATATATAGAATTGTAAAAATTTATAACGTGTAAGTTTTAAAAAGCAACAGAGGCTCAAGTGTAGCTTAAAGCTGTCAGTACAGTAAAACCTTGATTTGCAAGCATAATTCGTTCTGGAAACATGCTTGTAACTCAAAGCACTTGTATAGCAGAGTGAAATTTCCCTTAAGAAATAATGAAAACTCATGATTTGTTCCATAACTCCAAAAAATTCATATAAAATCATAATACTGTAATAAAATACAAAATTATAAAGAAAATGCAAAGTATAAAGAAAAATAAATTAACTTGTACTTTTTAAAAAATTTTATTTTAAAGAGAATAAAACCAAACAAAATTAAACAGAATAAAGCCAATCAAAATAAAACAGTGAAAGTAATACAGGACTTCAAAACAGGGTAATAGGAAATCAGTGATTATAATAATGACTTTTTTTTGTTTTTTTATTTTGAAGATAGTAAAATACAACAAAACACAGAACAAAGCCAATCGAGACAATGCACTGAAGTTGGTACAGAACTTTAGAGCAGGATACTGGGATAACAGTAACAGGTACCACAGAATATCTCGTTATCGTCACAATTGTCCTTTCACTCAGGTATAGCCATATCAAACCAAAAACAGAACAGTATAAAACCTGTCAAAACAGAATATTGAATAGAGCAAAACAATCAGAACAAAGCAAACCAGTGAAAACAATATTGGCCTTCAAAGACAAGATGGAAGGGAACCCCCCATCTATTGCTCTATTTGCTCTATTGCATACTGTCATCCTCCCAAGAGATGCTCAGACCGCTGGCCCCAGGTCAGCATAATCAACCCAACAATATGACCATTTAGTTGCTTTATGTTTCTTAGTTGCTACCAACTCCAGCTGACCTCAACACCATCAGGTTGCTAACCGAGGTGGGGGAAAGGTGTGTTTCTCAGCCTGTGTGCAGGTAGGCTCACAGGAGATGCTGACTGGTTCTCTCCCTGAGGCACAGGGTACTCACTCACCCCGTTGCTTGCTTACCAGGAAGGAGGGCTCTTTGCTTGTTTTCTTGTTCTAATGATGACTCTTGTTGTCTTCCAAATAGCTGCCCATATCATCAGACATAATAAAGAATAAATAAAACAACAGAATAAAATTAATCAGGAGAGAACACTGAATAAAACAAAACAATAAAATGAAAGAAATGAAACAGAAAAATATTGGATTTCAAAATCAAGACAGAAGGAAATCCTCTGTAGTTGCCATATTGCATATTGTTATCTTCTAAATAGGCTTTAGGCCTGCAAAGTCAATCAAACAATACAAGAATTAAATTGTTTCTGCACCTCAGTTGCTATCAACTCAGCCTGTGCTCCTCTGAATCAGCTGGTTGCTTGCTGGGGTAGAGGTGCTCTTGTCTCCCAGCCTGTACTTCACCTGGCTCATGGGAAGGGCAAATTGGCTTCTTGTTTCTCTCCCCGTCCCTCAGCCACTGCTGGTTTTGTTTTTTGGTTTTGTTGTTGTTTGTCTTTTTGAGATAGGATTTCACTATGCAGTTCAGGCTGTTGTTTTACTCTGTAGCCCAGGTTGGCCTCAACCTCATAGCAGCCTCAGCCTCCCAAGTGCTGGGGTTGCAGGTGTGTGCCACCACACCTGACTTATTTTTGAAAACCTTCATGATTGATGTGATAGAGATAAGAGAGTTTATTGCATAGAACAAATTTCACTATCACTAATTGAATTGCTGCTATCTGTTAGCTCAATGGACTCTTCTTTTCATGCAGCTTTAACAAAGAATTTATCTAATGAAACTTACTTTTGCCTCCTTTTGAGTATTTCACAGAAATGTGATATTGTATTGCTGTTAAGTAGATTCATCATTCACACTGCCACAGCCTTTAAGTGATGCTTTTCTACAAAATTTTGCACTGTTTACCTTTCTCCCTAATCACATTTGAAGTGATGGATTCCTCTGCCTTTTTCTCCTCTTCCTCTGCCTTTTTCTCCTCTTCCTCTGCAAATGAGATCTTCTCCATAACCTTCTGCCACAGGGAGATGATCATCCACAGTCCTGCGGAGGGGGGGGGGAGGGAGGGGAAACCATTGACTCAGTGGTGATGATGTGACATTCAGCATCACATACTACTTGTATTGCAAGCCATCGCTCATTTCTCATGTTAAAATTCATCAGAAATGCCTGCTTATCTTGTGGAGCACTCAAAGAACAAGTTACTCATCATGCAAGGTTTTATTGTATTCTCCATCCTATTCCCTCCCCTCTCCCGGATTTCTGTCCTGAATTTTGTGTTTTCACTTTGTGGCTTTTCTTTATAGATTTACTTTGACATCAAAGTATGTATCTCTAATGATATATTTTTGTTTGATATTTAAATTTGTGTAAATATGTATTGTTCTACAAGTTCTTCTCTAAGTATTGTATTCCTGAGACCTGCCAGTCTTCATGTATGTAACTGTGCTCAATTTCAATGCTATGTAGCTTTCCATTACTCAACCAGAAGTTGCTTCTTTATTAACTTTATAAATTAATAATCATTTTGTTGGTTTCCAGTTTTGCTGTGAGGAACAACTAGTTCACACATCTTTGTGTGTGATACGAGTTTCCATGCCATATATACTTAAAAATGGTGGGTTATAGGATAAGTGCTTCATCAGCTTTATTAAATAAGCCCAAATTATTTTCCAAAGCAGTTATGCAATCTCTAATATCATCAACTGTATGTGTTCTAGTAGTGCTTCTTTCTCCCTAATACAGTGCTACTAGGAATTAAAATGTTTCTATCAATATGGTAGGTATATTTTTAAAATTTTAAATGTTGCATGTTAGTAACACTACACAATATAACGAGATCCATTTTGGCATATGGGTACATGCATATAACATATTTTGATTATTTGCATCCCTATTACCTGGCTCTGCCTTTCCTCCTCCCTCCTCTGATCGCCTTCCCTATCTCTTAAAGTCTATTTTCTGTCATCTCATGTTTGTTGTTTATTTAGCTACTTATTTACAGATTGTTCATGTAAGATAAAACATGCAACATTTAATTTTCTGAGAATTATTTTGCTTACCATGATCCACTTCAGTTCCATCAATTTTCCTGCAAATGATATAATTTCATTCTTCTTTATGACTAAGATTATAATTGTTTGTGGTAGTAGGGATTGAACCTGGAGTCTTTGCACTGAGCTACATCCTCAGCTCATCTTTTATTTTGAAACAGGACTTGAACTTGCAGTCATGTCTCAGCTTCCCTCATTGCTAGGATTACAGGTATGTTACCATACCCAGCTCCATTTCAACTTTGAAATATCCTCTCAACACCTAGCCTTAGCAACCTCATTGTCCTCTCTGTCTCTGTCTCTGTCTCTGTCTCTGTCTCTCTCTCTCTCTCTCTCTCTCTCTGTCTCTGTCTCTCTGTCTCTCTCTCTCTCTCTCTCTCTCTCTCTCTCTCTCTCTTTCTCTCTCTCTCTCTGTCTCAGCACTGGAGATTTGAACCCTAGGCATTGCATATACTAGGCAAGCAGTCTGTCACTGAGCTACATCTCCCTAAAATGTTTAAATATTGCTATTGATTGACTGCTTTGTGCCAACCACTGTGGTAGGCAGGCACATAATTTAATTCTCTCAAAATTTTTCTGTCTCTTGGGGCTAGAGATTTAGCTCAGTGGCATAAGCGTCTGCCTTGCAAGCAGGCAGTTGTGAGTTCGATCCCTGGTACCTATAAAAAGGAAAAAGACAAAAAAAAAAAAAAAACTTTTCTGTCTCAGCCTCATCATGGATACTTTGTTTTTGATACATAATTATTCCTTGTATTAGTCAGTGTTCTGTTATGACAAAATACTTGAAATAAACACCTTACAGGAGGAAGGGTTTATTTTAGCTTACAGTTTCCGAGGTTTTAGTCCATGGTCCTGGGTCTTTGGCTACAATGCCTGTGGACCTGTGGTGAGGCTTAACAGGCTGGGCAGCATATGGCAGAACAAAATGACCGTCTTGTGAGAGAGAACAGGCAGAGATGGAGAGTCTAGGGACAAAACCCAGCCTCACAGGGTGCCCCAGGACCTTTTTACTCCAAGTAGACCCACCTCTTAGAGTTCCCACCCCCTCCAATAACACCATCAGCTAAGGCTCAGGCCTTCAGTATATGATCAATATCTGCATTTGTGGATGACATTTAGAGTCCAGCCTATAACACTCTTAACCTGTCTTAGACAAACTCTTTGATGAGTCTTTCTCTACCCTGTATCTAATTTTTGTTTATTTGTTTGTTTCTTTGTTTTTGAGACAGGGTCTCGCTATGCAGTTCAGGATGGCCTTGAATTCACTATGTAGCCCAGGCTGGTCTTGAGTTTATGGCAGTTCTCCTTCCTTAGCCTCCCACCTACTGGGATTACAGGAATGTGCTACCACACCTGGCTCTATTTAATTTACTTTTTTTTTTTTTTTTTAAGCAGAATATATTTATTGAGAGAAAAAAAGTTTCTGTCCGAGCGAGAGACAGAAGGGTCCCAAATGGGTTGCCAAGGACCCTGCCTTTTCAGGGATTTTTATAGAGAAAAACCATGAGTTGAGGCAGATCCAACACAGGGAAAAATGGGAACCCGCAAGGCAGACAGGCATGAGGTGGGACAGACTGATAGTCAGCCAATAAGATTAGGAGTGTAATTGCTCAGGCAAAACTTATCTGGTTTATTTTCTATTTTGTTTTTAATAGTCTTTCACTAGGCATAGTGGTGTATGCCTGTAATCCCAGCATTTGGGAGGTTGAGGCAGGAGGATCACCATAAGCAAGTTCAAGGCCAACCTGCACTACATAGTGAGACCTTGTCTCAAAAAAACAAAACAAAACAAAAGTAGTCTTTCTTATTCTAGAAGAAATTTGAGAGGAAAAGTAGGTAATAATGTCTTAAGTGATATTGACATTAAATAGTAGCAGACAATAAAATAAAATCAAAATCTCTGACTCCTAATTCACTTTTTGTTTCCTGTCTTCTCTTTTTCCTCTCCCTCTTGAGTTTAACACCCTAACTGTACTTCCCAGTTGGCTGCTATATGATGTGTGTGTGCTGAGGGAGCGCTGTGAGAGTGGGTAAGTGCCCAGACCAGCAGGACTGTGTGCACTAGCCCCCTGCTGGCCGGCAGGCTGGGAAACCATCCAGAGCTTCACCCGCACTTCCCTTGACTCTTCAGCAGCAAGAGGAAACCCAGGCCTCTTTGGAGGTATGGACGGCCCGAAACTGGACAGGGTGCCTGGAGAATGTGATATTGGAACAGCTAACATTAATTAAGAGAACACAGATTCTTAACAAAAGAAACAGATCTGACATTGAAGTAAAAAATTTTAGCCCACAAGTACAAAGGAAGGCTTTTTTAGTGTTTAATTATTTTAAATTTTTGTAGAAAGTAAGCACTCACCAATTTGTTATAGTATTCAGTTCCTTGTTTCTTATTATTTTATATCCAACTCCATTAACTGCCTAATTCCTGAAGTTCCTTGGTGCAACTCCTCAGTTTACTAAAATAGGAGTTGTATCCATAATGTGGTCACTTGGAATGCAGTGAGGGCAGAAATGGAGGATGTATTCTCTTTTTCAAAGTCTCTTTTTCAGAGTTGTTTGGTTTTGTTTATTGTATGTTTTGTAGTGCTGGGGATGGAACCTAGCACGACACTGTCCCATGGTAGACAAGTGCTGTGCCATGTCTCTTGAAGCACTGTGCCACTGAGATATATCCTCAATCCAGCAGGCTGGTTTTTTGGTTTTTTTTTTTTGTTTTTTTCTGTCAGTTTACTATCTCATGGCTGGAAATACCCTTTTTTTTAAGGTTTTACTCCTCTCTTGATTTTTTTCTCCCTATTGTAGTCTTGTTTGTGATGATTTGGGTGAAAATATCCATAGTCTTGGCTTATCTACACTCAGTGATTTATGTGGCCTGAGAAATTGGTTAGAATAGAGATTCGTGATTGATATGTTCTGAGTTGCATTAAACATGGAGAGAAAGAAGGAAAGCAGGATTGGTGTGGTGAAAGCATGAGGTTTAATAAAGTACTATATAAATTTCCAAAGGATTAAAAACATGTTTTATATAATTATAAAAAGAACCAATATCAAAACTATTAATTCATTAACTAATGAGGGAAACAGTAAGATGTTCAGGCCAGCTCAAATGAAAATTTAGAAGCTAGATGTTCATAGTCAATTTGATAAAGAAATGTTAAGATTTCTAAATTATTATTAATTTTTTTTTTTTTTTTTTGGTGCTGAGGATCAAAATCACGACCTTGCTCTTGCGAGGCAAGCACTTATGCCATTGAGCTAAATCTCTAACAGGATTTCTAAATTATGTGTAAGATGAATTAATGTCCTAAAATGCAATAAGTTATACTTTGAAGTTATTTTTTTCTATTAGACATAAAATATTTGTATCTCAACCAAGTAAAAGTCTACGTGTTAACCTGTGCCATGTAGTGTTATAAAGTACTGCTATCAATTGAACTATTAGAAGTATACACAAATCAGAACTGCATTAAGATCACCCAATAATTTCTTTTACCTGTTTCTAGTGTTAGATGTTTTTCTGACAGATTGTGGAAATCAATTTAAACTTGGTTACCAGGAAGTAAAATGTTTCACAAGTGTTGAAAATATAACTCTAAAATGAGGATAAATGTAAATTCTAAATTCTAGCTTATGTATATTAGAGGTAAATCAGGGATCAAGTTCCAAGTTTCATGAACACATTTAAATACCAGCATGAATAATTCTCATTACAAATCTTTTTATTTTTACAGAAATTCCATGGAATTGTAGTAGGTTCTACTTTGCAATGTCTCTATCTGAAAAGCAAAGTGAGAACAAAAAAGATGGAGAAGGTAGGTGGACTCAGGAAAAGAAATCTAAGTCTGTATGTTCTTATTATCTCTGAAAGTGTGTCTGTGTATTTGTCATATACACAAGTGGACATGACAAATAAATACAGTAGATAAATAGACCCAACTTACCAATCAGACTATAAGCCTACCAAACAAATGAGCAAGAATTTGACACATACAGGCCCTCCTGTTTTGTTGTCTGAGGATAATAATTTTGCATAGTTATAATCTCTCATTTTTTATATGTTCCAGTATTTGGAAATTCACCAGGAAACCTTCAATTCCTTCCCTTCTCTCTGTCCTTTACACCTGTCTCCTGCTCAAAAGAAGTGGTCAGTGTGAAGGAAGTTGCTGAGGCATCTAAAGTCCTTTGCAAGCTTCTCATGGACAGAACAAATTGATCTGGCAGTGTTGTATAAACAAATCAGAACTATATTAAGCTCACTCAGTACTTTCTTTCACCTGTTTCTAATGTTAGATGATTTTTATCTGACAGATCATAATCATCAACTTAAATTTGGTTGCCAAGAAGTAAAATACATTAGGAAGATTTCTGTGAAAGTCCATGACCCCTTTTGGTGAATCCACATGTTAACGGGACTGGAGCACCCAGCGCATCTTTTAAAATGGAACTGCCTAACTGGTTAAAAACAAAATTCATTCTGGCATGAAGTTTTGAAAAAGCAAGCCAGAATTTAATTTCAGCTTGTACTTCCTTTTGAGGAGTGGCAAAGGAGTGGAGAATGCAATTGGTTTACTGATTAAAGGCCATGTTTTATGTTCTTTGCTTTCTGCCTTTTGGAAGTTGTCTGACTTTCCTGGAGGAAGCCCATTCCAAAGGCACGAGCACTACTTCCAAAAGGAGGAGGTCAGGGAACACCCATAAGACGGAAAGCAAGGGAGGTCTACCCTCAGGACAGCCCCGAGAGCCTGCAAGGGACCCACTCCTACATTTTCTCATGAACAGAAAATGTGCAGAGCAGAACACTTCAAGGAATACTAAGTTCTAGGCAAGTGAAAAATGTGAACATTTATTAATTTATTCAACAAATATTTAGTGATTACCAAATGAATGCTGGCCACTGTGATGGGGATAGACAAACAATGACAACAAAACTAAACAATGCTGGCCCTTAGGGAGAGTATTTTAAGGAGGTTTATCATTTAATTAATAAATAGCACTTTTTAAACAATATCACGAAGAAATACTAAAGTATTTATGCAGTCAGTGCCATTAAGTAAAGATCACACAGGAGACACAGTGGACAAGAGAGTAGGTCCTAGAACATACAGTCTGGGTTTGAATTCTAGCTTTATCATTTTCTATGGCATCGTGGGCATATCTCTTCATTTCTTTGTGCTACAGTTCCTCATCTATAAGGGGGATATAGTGGAGTTACCAGGAAGGTGCGGGAGGGTTAAATGGGGTTTATTATAATGTACAACATCTGCTACGTGGTGAACAGTTGCTAAATGATTGTTCCAGAAAATAATTTGTAAGAGCTTGATGCTTTCATTCAGGAAGAGCATCAAGAACTTCAGTGTTTGTAACTGTTGGTTATTTCAAAAGCCAAAACTTTTACCAAGAAAAAGAGAATTGAAACTAGTTTTCCTGATGTCAAGCCCTGTAGGTGAGGAGCACCTACTGAAGATGAAGTCAGTGCTCTGATGCTGTCATCAGTGAGCGGTTACTCTCAGTCTACTCAGGACTCTGTTCTGTTGGCCTGGGTGGTCAACAGAATAACAGTGGCAAACCTGTTATTTGGCAGGTTTCACTATTTTGAATATTCAAAATATTTAGGCCTATTCTGGTTGGAAAATTTATAGCACACAGATTGAGTAACAGTTAATTTTAGCATCTTGCTTATCTGTCTTTTACCGGTTTACTATCCTCTAGATCAGGCGTTAATCACGGCAGACACTGGGTATATAATAGCAATCTTTTATGTGGTGTTTATGTGTATGTGCAATCTGTTCCCCTGTAAATCCATCATATTAATATTTTGGAAATTCTAGCTTTATCATATTTTTCCCTGCTCAGAATCTTTCTGGAATTCCTCATTAGCCTAAAACTAGAAGCTTGCTCTTTTGATCTTATTTCCTGCCTTTTTCAAATCCTTCATATCTACTGTGGTGTCACGCAGTTTGTCAGTGCCGCACCTCTCATTAGGATCTTTCTGGGTCCCTACTTGTCCCTGTCCCTACATCTCTGTTCACCAAGTTAATCTTCTAGATTTAATGCAAGTTCTTCATGAAGGCTTCCTCAACACTTTTACCCCTTCTTGAATTCCTATAGTGCTAGGTTTCTACAATTTATTTTTAAAAAACAACTGTATTGCAGTATAATTCATATACCACAAAATTCTCTGTTTTTTTGGCTGGATTGAATCCAAAACCATCCTACGAAACTTCTCTAGCCTTTTTCTTCCTTCCTTCCCTCCCTTCCTTCTCCATTCCTCTTTCCCTTCCCTCCTTTCTTCTTCCCCCTTTCTCCTCTTCTTTATCTCTCCTCTCCTCTCTCCCCCACCATATATTTTTGCTAAGTTGCCTGAGCTTGCTCAAATTTTGAGTACTGCTGCCTCACGCTCTCACATGCCAGGGTTGCAGGCATTTTGTTTCTAACTGATGGCCTTTAACGTACTTTTCTCAACCCCTGGCCCGTGCCAAGGAAGGTTTTATGATTGAGCAGTGCTGAAAGTGTTGTTAGCAGTTCAGTCAAACAGGACAGATTACCTCTACCACTTTGATGAGAAATCATTTGTCCTGCATTCCAAATGAGGTCAGAATGGCAGACAAAGCACTCCTAAAATGAATGATATTCTTGTTGCCTCTGCTTGGAGAAGGAGAGAAGCCTGAGGTCTCAGAGGGGAATAGGGGTAAGATGTTAGTTTTCAAGCACAACCTGAGTTAAGCCAGTCAAACTAATTTTTATTTTCTTCAAGGCCTGATCCTTTAACAACTCTATAGTTTTGTTTTCATCAAACTCAGATAGAATAATGTTATTGATGGGATCTTTTGACCCAGACATAGCAGACATGAGATGGGGCCAAATAGTACAAACACAAAGCTTTATTAGGAAGGAGGGCCAAAGGAAAGGAGTTTCAGACAAAGTGGCTGGCTGGAGAGATCTAGCAACAGAGGGAGAAAAGGACCAAGCTGCTGGTAGAACACAGTGACAGGTTCTTATTGATTTGTTGAAATGGTCTAACGTCTAGTAAATTTCACTTTCAAGGGCTTGATTCCTGAAGGTTTGTTTTGTTTTGTTTCTTGTGCAGAAACATCCTGGCCTTGTGTTTAGTGGACTAACAGGGCCAGCTTCGCTCAGGAACCACTGAGTTGATTTTACAGCTGGCGTCATCAGCTTGCATGAACATCCTAACCTTATAAAAACTTTCAGGGCTTGGGAAAAGCACAAGGGTGGGGTACAAGAAACATATAACAACTCCAGTGTGCAGTGGTCAAATTAAACCTGCATTGTAGAAACTGACCCAAAAGTTAAGAGAGCAAATGAGAGACATAAATGAAGACAGAGATAATAAACCTTTCATCCTTTTAGATATCACCTACCAGATATTTGTTGGCTCAGATGAAGAGCTAGTGTGCCTTCCTTTAAATTTTTGCAAAGTAACCTTGGCAAGTGTTGTCATAGCTCATACATCAGAGGTGTTATCTTACAGCAAAGCTAGTGGGAAACTAACAATGAATGTATTGCCCTGCAGTGTGACCTCCAAAATTAGTGATTTTTTAAAATTGACTGAGAACAACTAAAGCTAATGAGCTTATTTTGGTTTTTTTCCCCTTGGCAACAATTCTTACTGCATGTGAATATTCTTCTTCTGTGGTTCTAGCAGAGTCCCATGACGTATCTGTTGAAACATGCCGTGCTTCAAAGAGTAATAGTTTATAGGGTCCCAAGTGTTTATTTTGGGGTCCCAAGCTTCTACTCCAACAAGGTGGTCCCTAACTATCTCAGAATTAGTGAAGCTTGAAGGGATGGTCAGGCAGAGGTGCAGGACAACTGTACCAGGACCATACTTGGCCCAACATTCAGGACTTTGGTGAGCGTCTTGTCTTAATACTAGACTCTCTTCCACCATGCTGGATGTGCTCCTGTTTGTTGACGTCAGCATTCAAAGGTCAGTGAAGAATTAGCTTTAACTGAGGTTTTTGTCAGCCCAGCTGTTCTGTGATTATGCAGATCTTCTTGCGGGAAGAGATGATTACCCCCACTGGAGAGGTTTGGACAGAAATCTGACTTCAATTTGGCAGAACATGTTTGTGAACATCTTTTTGCTTTTATGTTTTTTCATTGAACAAATCTTTACTAACCTAAGGCTTTATGTTGAGCCAGGCAGTAGAGTATAGAAATTTAAAGAAAAGGGTGAGGACTGGAGTTGTAGCTTAGTGGTGGGGTGCTTGCCTAGCATGCAGAGGCTCTGGGTTCAATCTCTATACCACAAAAACAAAATCAATTAAGAGGAAAAAGACTTGGATTCCACTCCACACGTGTGTGTGTGTGTGTGTGTGTTAGTACTAGGGATTGAGAAAAGGTCTTGCTACATTCCCCAGACTTGAATCTTCAGTTGTGCTGTCTCAGCTTGCTGTGTAGTTGGGATTACAAGTACTGAGAGATACCACCTTGTGGGACTTTTTCAACCCTCCCATTAGGACCTAGCACTTGGGAGACTGAGACAGGAGGATCACTGTGAATTTTAGGCCAGCCTGGACGACAAAGTTAGTTCTAGACCAGCCTGAACTGCATAGTGAAACTCTGACTCAAAAAGACAGAAAAAAAAAGGTACTCAACTCTCCCACTAACTAGATTATCTGAAGGTGGTCAGGTGTGATGCCTACTCCATTTAATAACCCTAGAACCTAACACGAGGTCCAGCCTCTGCTAAGAACCCAGTAAACACTCACTAATCCAAGAATTGAAGAGACTACAGGAATACTCCATTCGTGGCAGAAATTTCTATTGACTACACACACACACACACACA